CCCAGTTGGGGGAAAAAACTGATACAAAAAAAGAGTTTAAATAATTGGGCTAAGTTCTTACAACTAGTTAGCATCAGAGTCAGGCTTTGAACCCCCCAAAGCCTGCCTCTACCCTCCACTCTCATAACCATTGACTTACACTGCCTCTCCATATTCACTCAGTGGCAAAGACTTTCAGGTACCTAGTGGGTGCTGATCATATTTTTAAATATGCATATTAGCTCTCATCAACTCTTGATCATAAATCTTTAATGGTGTACTAGAAGCTTTGAATAAACACTCAGAGAAGACACCAATATCTTCACCAATCCATCTATTTCTCTGATATCTCCTTTCGCCTTAAGTTAATCTATTTTCCAATAATTTCAAACTACCTGATGTTTGTAAATCGAAGCAGTTTCAAAATCTGAACCTCTCCTTTCATCCCTAGATAAGCTGCTTGTGTTCAGTATTTGAACTCCAGTAACTACACTTCTAAAACAATAAAGATGTTTGGATAGCACCATCCAAAGTGCCAGCTTGGGAGGAAGCACATTTGCTCTTCAAAGAGTACCAGCTGTGATGTCACATAAACTGCACACACGACCGACTAAGAAAACGTTAGATACATCATTTCTACCCGCATACAAATCTCGTAAAAGTTCAAAATGGAACTATCACGATGAGACCGCGGACATTTCAGTTCATCTCCAAATCTCTTCCCTTGTATTGTCACAATGGCAAGAGTAGTTCTGACCTGAGCCCATCTAGCCCGTTAGTTAGAAGTAAACATCTTTCTAACCAAGAGAAAGCCTGGAGCTAAGTTCTTGAGCCTCTCCACAACTCAAGCAGCTTGGGGAATGTGGTTAAGGTTTCAGCCTTGAATGATGCACCTGGGAATGCCACAGGCTAACTGGTTGAGGCCCTGAACCAATCATGTACTTGGAGGAGGAAGTCCCACAGGTGGGTTCAGGAGTGATTCTCAAATCACATTCCTTGACTAACAGCATCAGTACCCCTGGGAAACATGTTCAAGACTGCACATCTTCAGCAGCACCCTGAACCTGTTCAATCACGAGCTCTGGGGGTGGAGCCAGGCACCCTATTGAAAGCGGCCTTTCAAGTGACTCTGATAGAAGTCACACAAAAATGTGAAACACATTAGTTTAAACCATCGGGCCCTGGCCATGGGGCCCTCAGAGAAGGCGAATCCTGTGGGTTTCACTAGCCTCTCACACAATTAAAAGGGGACAGAAGGGAGGCCTGGATGTAGGCATCTCAATACCTCAGAGAGGGTCAGTTCTTTTCCGACTTGCTGAGGCCTCAGCAATCAGCAGTACAAATTAGCCCACTGGTTGGAAGATGACTTCTGAGACCTGTATGTGTTCATCCTTAGAACAGGCTTTGAAGAAAGGAAGATGCCAGAAGAGCATGGACTCTGGTGTTTTCTGTGGGCCCTGCCCTGATGGAAGCCTCAGAGAAACTGGGCGAATAAATTTACATAGTTTTCACAGAAAAAAAAAAAAACCTGCTTCTCAAATAAAACCACATTGGAGTCATTCTCTAAAAACAGCTTCTTTCATACATTTTTATATTTTAAAGAATTGATTTGGGGGGAATTTTATAGATGTATACATTGAAATATGATCATCTCTGCCTCCCAAATCACAGGAATAGGATTACGCATACAGATTTTTGAGGCGCTGTTAAAGCAGGATGTCTGAGGAAGAGGCCCGGGAGTCTGCACTGAGAATAACAGTTCTTCCTCCTGTTCTTTAGTACACTCCATCACCCAGCATCTCGAGGTTTTCCTCCTCTGATGTTATTCTGCCCTATCTCACTCACACCACTGTAGAATCATCTTTCGAAAAGAAACTGGATGCCAAGCCCCTGATCACATCTACCTCAAGGCCTCCCTGGGCTTCATAGTAAAGTCCACAGCCTGAGGTGCCTCACCACGCCCTGCTAAAGCAGCCCCTGCCTCTTTCTTCAGCCCTGCTTCCCACCACTAGGCCCTTGGGCCCCAACCTTCGCCATTATGAATTCTCTCCACTACCTGTGCTGCTCTTGTGCCTTGGTTTCCTCCACTCTCTAAGCCCTTCCTTACCTCTTCCCAGTGTGGCTGTCAAGTTAATTCCAGGTTACATTGTCTACAAACTCTCCATAGATGAAGTCAACATAGATTGTTTCCTCACTCAATGCCAGTGGTTAGCAAGCCCTTTCCCTAACAGGACAAATGAGAAATAGTTTAGGCTTTGTGAGTAACATGGCCTATGATATGTGTGAGTCTATATCTCCAAGCCTTTAAAATGTATTGAAAATCCTTCTCATTTATAGATGTCGTCAAAGATGTGATACTCATGCAGTTGATCAGAAACCTGGGCAAATGGCGCAGCCACCTCTGGAATGCCTCCTGTCGCCAGGAAGACAGAAGGAAAGAGCCTCCCACAGGCAACTAAATGGGCCAGTCTGGAAGTGATGCCCCGTAACTTCCATCCATTAATTTAGTCAAAGTTAGTCTCTTAACCCAACCAACAGGAAAAAGGTGGAGGCAGGATGTGACTTACTGGGTGAAAAATGCTGAATATGTCAGCTCAAGGGCAAGCACCTGAGGAAGCCTTTTCTTATAGCCTCATCCTGCAACCAACTCAGTTAGTTTGTCCCTATCATCCCATTCGTACATTCATTCACTCATTCATTCATTCTTGCGATGCTTCAGATGGAATGTACAACCTTGTACGTGCTAGGCAGGCAATCCACCACTGAGCAATAGCTGCCTCATCTCTGTATTTCACAGCATCCCAAATTCCAGATTACAATGCTGTATGTAACATGCTGGAATTTTCAACATGTCTGTCTTACTTGACTAGCTCCCACGGCCTCTTCAGATAAGCATGTATCTATGGCAGTTGTCTTGTCTGTCATCACCCTCCCAGCACTGCTCAGTGTGTGTTGTTTGGACACACTAGTCCATGTGGTGGACTGTGGGAGTAAAGATGACTACTGGCACAAGGGCTCCTGAATCCCCGTTAATTTGCCCACGCTGTCTCCTCGTGATCAATTTATTCTTTTAGTTATTGGTTACTCTCTCTCTGAATCACACGCATGCCTCCTTGTAACTTCTGTCTGATAATAATGGATGCCGAAGAGAGGTCACAGAAAATGTTGATTATCATGTGGCTTGTTGTTGTTTTCAGAACAGGTCAGAAGGCAGGCAGAGAAAAAGGAGTGAGTGGTTTGGGTTCTGTTGTTTGAAGTTGCACAGCCAATCGGAGGCAGAGTAAAAATGACCGAACAAAAAGCTACGGGATTGAGTACCAAGCCATAACTAAGCTTACCAACGGTTTATTTATGCTAGGAAGCATAACACATGTTTGTTGAAGATAAGTCTTATTGTACCATATCAATGTTTCCCTTGTAGTGTACATTTCTCTCTCAAGGAAAACATTAAAAACAAGCATGTGACGACTCATGCTTAATATTGAGCTTTTTAATGTCGACTTCACCTGTGTTCCCACACATTTCACTGGCTGTAAAGTGACCATGAGCTTTTCAAGTCCCAGGGATGCTGAAGATTCTGAGGGCCTAAAGTGAGAACGCCTCTCCACTTGGTCTGTGAGGTAAATAGTAGCTGTGAGCACCTGCACTGTGAATGGCATGAATTCTGTTTCCCATGCAACATGTGTGTGTGGCTGGTGCAGTTTTTACCCACCTCCTACCCACCAATTACACAAAACAGCATTCACATTGAGCTGCTTAGAACGACCCCAGCTGTATGTGGCCTTATCAACCACAGTGAGGATAAATTATAGGGACCAAGATGTCTCCTGGGCCCAGGAAATTCTCAAATATGCATCCCTCCTAGAAGGAAGCCTGCCACTGACCATTGCTCTCGGGAGAACGAAGGCGAGGAGATTATAAATCCGGAAGAGAGCTAGCTAGGACGTGAAATCTGGAATCTGTCAACTTCTCTTCACTCAAGTTCCAGCAACTTATGAAGAGAAGAGCACGCACACTATATTAACAGGTGAAATAGCTCAGTGTACCCCTGTGCGCTGCTCAGGCCAGAGCAGAGAAGGCATCTCACCCAGGGGGGGTGTGTTCAAGAAAACTGATGGGCGGGAAGAGCAAGTCTTAGACTCAGGTCCTGTCTGGCAAAAAACCCATCCTTTCTAGGGCGGGTTGACTGCTTCCTTCTTTCCCTCCACAAGGCTTATAATTGAATGTTACAAAGTACACCAAGAATAAATCTACCCGGGCCCCCTTCCCCCAACCAAAAAAGGTTAAGCTTTTAATTACAGGCCCTCAAACTATCATTTTGTGCAATTAGCAATTAACTATAATCGTTGATGAGAGAATGCAGAGCTGGGCTGGCAATTTCCCTCCTCCCCATCCCAGACTCGGTTATTTTAGTCTTGTTCTATTACAGAGGAAAAGCCACAACCAAGGAGCTCTCTTGTTCTCTCTCTCTCTCTCTCTCTCTCTCTCTCTCTCTCTCTCACACACACACACACACACACACACAGACTCATACTTAAAGAGACATTTAATTTTAACAAAATGGCATCTCAGCTTGCCATTGAGACGGGACCCCAAACCCCACAGCAGAGCAGCGGAGCATTCACACCCCTCCTCTTCATCACTTCCAGGTTGGAAAGAAGAGTCCCCAGGAAGATGCTACCTACCTACCGACCTCACAATACCAGCCCTTCCTAGGGGCTCAGGAGAGGAAGGTAGAGAGTTCCTTGCCGCCCCCAGACCCCTCCACTGTCAGCCCCATCGTCCCGGAGGTGGTGGCAACAGCAGCAATAGTTGCATCAGCGCTCTCGGCCCCGGCGCCAGGAGGGTACAGTAGCGACTGTAGGGAGCTAGGGAGCGCACAGCTGCTGCGGCCGCAGGTTCCCTGGATCAGGAAATTAGGACAGGCACCCGGGATTGGAGGTGAGGACGGTGCGCGAGCCAACCAGAGGCCGCCCCGGGTCCCCCGTGAGCCCCGGGCCGACGCGCGAAGCAGCCGGGCCCCTGGAGCCGTCCGGATGGCGGCTGCAACAGCCCCAGCCACTGCCACTCACGCACGCACGCTGCCACTTGCCCCCGCACCCTCCGCACCGCACGCGGGAGAGCGGCGCGTGCAGGAGCTGCTGGGCTGAGCTCCCCCGCTGGGGTCCCCGCGCGGCAAGACCGCGCTCCTGCCGCCACCCGAGTGGGTGCCCCCGACCGTTCGCCTCGGCTGTCCCTGGCGAACCGGCTCCCCGCCCCCTCCTCCCGCGCCCTCCCCTCCCTTCTCCCTCCCCTCCCTCTGCAACGCCTGCATTATTTTCCGCCCGCAGGGTCCGCGCGCACACCGCGGCCTCGGCGGGGGAGGTGACCGGGTGGGTGGCTGGGTGGGTGGCTGGCTGGCTGGCGGGGAGTACAGCGTGCAAGTTGCAGGGAAGGGGTGCCCGCTCCTTCCGCGCTTTCCGTGCTCCCGGCTCCTCACTCCTTCCCCCCTCCTCCTCGCCTCCTCCCTCCCCGCCCCCACCTCCTTCCTCCTCTCCGAAGGGCTGGTAACTTGTTGTGCGGAGCGGACGGCGACAACGACGGCGGCGGCGGCGGCACCATCCGGGCGGGCAGCATGGGCACGTCCGCGCGCTGGGCGCTGTGGCTGCTGCTCGCGTTGTGCTGGGCGCCCCGGGACAGCGGCGCCTCTGCAAGCGGTGAGTGGGGACGCGCCCCTCCGCACTCGGCCCGTAACAAGCCGGGGCGCCCGCGATCGCTGCGTTTTGGGGGGCCTTGGGGCTCCTCTTGCCCACCCCCTCCTAGGAGGCGCCTCTCCGCGCTCCTCTCCTGCCTCCCCTCCCCGCCCGGGTGGCGCCTCTGAGCTGTCAGAGCCGAGGCTACTGGGAGCTGGGCCCGGGGGACCGTGGGGTTTAGGGTGTCCTAAAGCGTTCCTTGAACTTGTTGTCATTCCCCTGTGTCCCCTTTCTTCCCAGAACCTCTGTTTTACATGGTTTTCATCCCTCTTGACAAGGGCTTGGGGATGTGGGCTTTGGAGCCACTGAACAATGGTTCTGCCTCCTCTGCCAGGCGGGCTGTTAGGACCGTGGCAGAGCACCGGGCCTGGAAGCCCGGGTGCACCCCTCAGACTTGAGCAGGGTTGAGAGCGCACAGTGGGTGAAGGTGGGCGTCTCCGAGGACACCGGGCGCCAGGTGCCGGCCGGACAGGGAGTCCTCGCGCAGCCGTGAGCAGGCGCACGTTCGGTGGGCGGCAGCCTGGAGGCCGAGCCATGACAAGTGCGCAGGCTGCGCACCCGGACTGCGACTCCCCAGGCGCCCGGCCGCCTCTCCGGCCCCAAGTGTGGCTTTCAACCGGACTGTCCTCCGAGTGCTTTTCTCCCTTCCCCCGGGATTCCGCCGCTACTGCGGCGTTCGTATACCTCCGAGTCTCTGAGATAACTGAACGGGGGAGGGGAGTGGGACCCAGACTTAATCAGGTTACTTTGCTGAGCCTCGTTCTGGGTGACACTTCCCCCCAAAGAAACCGATGTAGTGACTGCAACTAGCCCTTTATTTCACACAATAGATCGAAGGTGTAGTGCTAGAGCTGGGGTGTGACTGTAGCTTGGGGAGGGCGGGGTTTACTGTCCTGAGTCCCCTAGGGTCAGCGCCCTGGCTTGGGATCCCTCTGTGTTTTCAGTTCCCCATCTTGGGTCGTACAACTTTCCAGAGCAGGCGATAAGACGCCTTCCTAACAAGGTCCGGTTTGATCCTTGGCAGGCCACTGAAGAGGTCTTAGAGGTCTTAAGAGGTGACACCAAAGAGCTTGCTTGCCAACCAGCTCTAGGTAATTAGGGCAGAATGCTGTCCCAGCTCTTAAGAGTCCACAATGCCCATCTCCTGTCGCCGGGTAGCTTAGAAGGCCTGCCTGCGTGCGGTCACGTGTGTCCTGGAGTGAGAGCGAACTTTCAAGTGTGTGGTCAAGCAGTCTGTCGACCTATGCTGGGGTGTTGAAGTCTCCCAGCGCCCCTGAGCCTTTGGTTCCGCTGTCCCGAGCGTGAGAAGCTGGGCAGGGCTTTTCTGCCCCATGCGATTGGCTGGTAACTGGATTGCGTTTAGGTTGGTCACGTGTTTTCGCGGACTTAATTGAGCTGCCCCAGCTGGGTTACCTTTAAGATCAGCCAGGCTCAGAGGGACTGTGCCTTCTGGTGCTTTCTCCTGCTGCACTCTGAAAAGTCCATGTGTAGTGACGCTAGAATACTGTGTGGGGCAAGCCTACGAGCCCAGAGAAGCCCTGCTTCACAGAAATTCTCAGACGCTGACATTAATCATTAATGGATGAGTAATGCTAACTTATTAAACCATCCCTCAGAGTGACTTGACTTGCGTTACATATTTTGTAATAGTTCAAAACACGAATGTGTATAAAATCCATTATTGACTGTGATCCAGGGAGGTGGGAGAAAAGAGTCCTAGCTTCAGGTCCTTTTGTATTCTGGGAATTTTTTTAACGTGCTAACTTTCCATTAGGTGCTGCTTTTTCATGGGGTGCTAAGAAAGCACCCAGACTGCTGCACTGAGCTAGTCCAAAGTCAGAAGCTGTTCAGTTGTGATCCATAAAGTGAGGATATCCTTTGCCCCTCCTTTACTGCAAGTGGAATATGATGGTGCTGGAAAAAGTGGAAGAGAGAACCTGGCACAAACCTAAATCATCAGAGTGGGGGGAGCCGTTCTTTCTGAACTGCCCAAACTTGGAATTGGTTGAAGCAGGTATTGACCCTAAGCCAACCCATTCTGTCCGTGCCTTAAGTTCAAAGTACCAAGACATGTGGACTGATTTTCTGGCCCTGGTCTTCTATACTCAGTCTTTCTGTCTAGCCCTTCCCCTTGTCCCCCAGTACACAGACACACTCGGAGGCTGCTCGGAATTACCTGATCAGAGCAGGCAGGTGTGCACCAACTTCCTGTAAGGAATTTAAGTGAGGCTAACAAGAGGTCTTACAAGGGCTGATGGCAAAATACGTGGGGTCTCTGGGACTCTTTCCTCCACGCCAGGTATAGATTAAGATGTGAGGTGCTGTGTAGTCTTCAAAGCCAGAGTTCTGCGAGAGCTCTTCCACCTCTTCCAGTATGACCAATGACTCTTACTTTTCCTGCTCTGGGAGTGAATGATGTGTACCTGCAGGCAGGAATCTGGAAAACCAGGAGAACTGATATCTGGCTTACCGAAGCACCAAGAGAAGGAAGAGACCAGAGCAATCTCATCTACATCCAAGAAAGGCTGCATAGACCAGACGAGGGCATTCTTTTTTAAAGAGGGTCACAATCCAAGCTTGAAGTCTGGAACAGTTTTTTTTTAATTTTTATTTATTTATTTTTATTCTATTTTATTTTATTGTATTTTCCTAGAATCATCATCTGAAGTCTGGAACAGTTTTTTTTTTAAATTTTTATTTGTTTATTTTTATTCTATTTTATTTTATTGTATTTTCCTAGAATCATCATCTGAAGTCTGGAACAGTTTTTTTTTTATTTTTATTTGTTTATTTTTATTCTATTTTATTTTATTGTATTTTCCTAGAATCATCATCTTACCAGCAAACTCTAGTGCTGGTCCTGTATCATTTCATCTCTTTGTGCTTGAGTCTCCAGAGACCTACAGCGTGCATATAAAGGCCAACTTCAGTAGAGCTGGCACATGTTAAGACTTCAGGTGGACAAACTGCATTAGCAAACTTGTAAAGGTGGCCATCTCTACCTTCCAAACAATTGCCAGCTGATCATTGTGTTTCTGCTTTCTTAAAAAATGAATAGCCATAGACAGGATTTCACTGCAGAACTTTTGTGATGCTTCTGGAGGAGCTAACACACTGTTAGGACCCCCTTCTGTTCCCTGAACAATGTCAAACCCATAACACAAAAGGCTCTAGAGCACAGCCTCAAGGTCAGGAGTGCAGAGAGGACCCCAGGCATGTGGCTTCAGGCTTAGATTCCCAAATCCTTCCACTTACCAAATAGCATAGAAAGAGAAAATGTATAGGAAATATTTCCTCTGCCCTCACAGAATATAAAGTTGTTCTCAGTAGAGGAAACAGGATGGAGATGGAGTAGTTTCCCTTTTTGGCCTCTGCTCTTGACCCTGATTGGCTTCACTTGACCTTGCTTTGGAAAGCCACTGGCATGTGCTAGCCTGTGAGGCATTATGCACATTACAGAGCCAAAATGGGCCTGAAATGGTGTTTGTCACATACACCTGGTGAGTCTTATGGCAGACTAAGGCAGCTGCCTTTCACATGTGAGGAGATAGATTCTTCTAACTTGAAGTAATCTCAAGAGATCACCCGACCACAGCACAGTAGACAGCTTTCTGGAAAAATAAAAGCCCTTCCTTGGAGGTTATGAGTAAAATGTACTTTTTGAACGGGAGCAATCTAAGGCCATTTTCCTCCTCACTGAGGAGGGGACAATCTGAGGACTGGTAGCTTGTTCTGAGGTCCCCAAGGCATACTATAACCCAGTTCTTGGAGAACCTGATTTTGTAAGTGAAAACTTGCTCAATTTTACTCTCTGTAATTGTTTTCGCTACAAATCCGTATCTCCCTGCTAAGCTCCAGTGTTGGTTTACAGTCAAGGCCCTGAAACTGGTAAATTTCAACACGTTAGACATGCTAACTGCAGTTTAGCCAAGTGAGAAAGCAGGTGGCACCTTAAACGGGGCCCACTTGGCCTTCTTGTGGAGAACCCTGGATGCTTTGGGCCTGCTAGTCATTTTTAGGCTCTAAATTAAAAACGTAAGAGAGAATCTGCTATGTATAGTGAGAGTAGGCATAGAGATCTCCCAGAAGCGTTTCATCATTTGTGCAGAGGGCCCTTCGCCAGCTTTGTGAGGTAGAGATGCTAAGTTTCATATGGTAGAGCTGCCCTGTGGGGAGGGGAGAGAGTATGCCAGAGCCAGCATTTTAAAAGTACGTTTAGGGCAAGAAACTATACCTTGGGAAGGTCAGGCACTCACTAGAGTGGCCGATCTTGCCACTAACTTGGGGCATCTGGGTTGGCAAGGTGGCCAGTAGTCTTTGTGCGTCCAGAAATAGTATTGGCAGTGGAGGTGAGGGGGTAGGGGAATGTGCAGTTTGCCAGGGTTGATGACTGACATTTGAGAGTTCACACATTTCTAACTTCGCACTGCACAGACTATACTATAGTATAGTATATATATATACTATATATATACTATATATATACTATATATACTATATATATACTATATATATATATATACTATATAGTATATATATATACTATAGTATACTGTGTATACTCGTCTTTTCTCTAGACCTGCCCCTGATCTTTACTTTTCCTAGCATGCTTTCCTAAGATCTAAGTTATTCATTGGAAGGGAGATTAACCAGGCAGGGTATAAATTGAAGCCAGCCCCCCCCCCCCCCCCCCCCCCCCCCCCCCCGTACATCTGCTCAAGACCACTTGATGGACAATACAGAAACCAGAAAGCTGGCCTCTTTGTGCCATTTCTTTGTAGGAAGTCAAACCAGGAAACTCAAGATTCAAAAAGAGCTGAGTATAGAAGCTGTGAATGGAGTGAGCAGAGCTGGTGTTTCTTAATCATGCAAGCCACAGACATCAGCTGAAGATGTCTTGAGAGTTCCCACATGCTGCTTTGATTATAGCTCATAATGCTTCCCTAAAATCACCAGCAACTTAG